CGCGAAAGGCAGCCGGGGAGCTGGCAGCTGGAGACAAAGCCAGGCCTGGGGGCAGGCCGCGAAAGGCAGCTGAAGCCAAAGCCAGGCCTGGGGGCAGGCCGCAAAAGGCAACCGCAGAGGTGACAGCCATGAACCCGAGAGGAGAAGAGGCGGCTCTGCCCAGTCTGGACACTCTGCCAATGATGAGGAAGGTACAGCTGGACAGTGGCTCTGCAGAACCTCTAGAGGGCGCGGTGGGCTCTCCAACGCCCTCACACAGCGAGGGGCTTGCAGGTATGAGAGTTAGGACACATTTTTTACGTATTTAACACCATAGTAATGCATAGTATAGTGATCCCCCACTATATCGCGGTTCAGCTATCGCGCCCCGATATATCGCAGACTTTTCCCTGACGCATCACAGTTCTCTACGCATCGCATATCTTCCTTGTGGTCCGATTGTTGTGAGCAAACTTTTTGTGAACATACTGAGCTTAAAATGTTTTTATTTTTACATATTCCATTATGTATACAGAGATAGAGAGATGTGTATATATACATATATACATTACATATTATTATTTATTATTATGTTACTCATATCCTTAGCCCAACACCTACATATATGTCTTTACAAATTGTGCTTTAATAAGTTTACATGTGTTTAATCTGTGTGGGAGGGGTATTTTAGGGGCTTAAACTGTAAAAAAATATAATTTCTATATATTTCACCTATCGCTGACGGGTCTGGAGTGTAGCTTCCGTGATAGGCGGGGGGTCATTGCAATACAATTCAATTTTATTCATTCAGTTTTATTTTATTCATTTACTCCAACATGAAGATCATTTAAACGTCATTTTCTTCAACTTCCTAAATACTTTTGCGTGTGTCATTTGTACCTTACATTTGACATTCATGGCAGTGAAATTCCATCGGGCCTCAGCAGCTGTGTGTCGCCCTGCAGGTGAGACCTCGTGGATCTCTGACCTGTCTATTGAGCTGAGTCTGCAGGAGGATCCCAGCCCCCTGAAATCCTCCCTGTTGCAGGATGAAGGTGACGAGCAGGAGGATGAGGAGCTGCCCAGCTTTCTGCTGCAGACAGATAAAAGTATGTACAGCATTAAGTGTAATATGCAGGCATTCAAGCTGATTAAAATTACATACAAAAGTGCTTTACCTCGATGCAAATATGTGGTTCTGTTAGCATGTACAGTATTGACACAAGTGCGAGTGGTAACCAGTTTTCTAGATGAACACTACAGTATATGTTCTCTTCCAGAACCGAGTGCCATCAAAGAGGGAAACTGTGTCTGGTGCAAATACAGATCTTATCCCTACTGGCCAGCAGTAGTAAGTGCAGCATAACTGTTTGTCCTTCACCCGTCTATCCTCTACCCGCTTATCCCGGTCAGGAGAAGAGCTGCATGTCTGTCTGTCCATCCTACAGCCATCCATCCCCTAGCCGCTTATCCTGGTCAGGAGAAGTGCTGCATGTCTGTCTGTCCATCCTACAG